AATTCGTGCTCACCATCGTGATTGGTAATATAACAAGGAACTGTTATTCTTATAGTATCTAGTTGTATAGGTAGGTCTACCATGTTTTTACAACTAAAATTATTCCCTTCAAAGGTTTTATATGTATAGTGTTCTCCTTCATAGACGGTTTTATTACCTTCAAAGGTTTTGTAGGTATAATGCTCTCCCTCGATAATTGGTAATCCATCTATTAGAACACCTTTCACGTGGTTAGCAGTTGCTCCTGTTTGTATCAAGATTTCTTGATATTTCCATTCCGTTCCATTGAAGATTCTTCCCTTTATTTTTGTTATGTTTGGAGTTTCAATTTTTTGCTGATGTCTTTTGGATATACTTTTTCTAATTGAATTTCTTCCATATTCTATCGAAAGTCTAGGGTTACTAGTACTTTCTATTTCTTGTGTTTTTCCAAATCGAATTTCATATTCATCTGGAATTTGGGCCTGTTGAATTTCAGCTTCAACTATTCTTGCAATCCCTGCACATTCCTGATCTATTTCGATCATTCCTTTATTTTTGTATATTTTACCATAGTTTGAATTTGTAACTGTGTATAATGCCTGGTAATATATACTCATTATATGATTACCTGGTTTAAATAGATCAAATTCTTTTGATCTGAAAATGTAAACTTAATGCGTCATTAAAGTTAGCATCTTTTAGTGATATACAATACTTTGGGTAATAAGTAAAAGGAGTTTTGTATAGGCTAGATTTCCCCCTACTATACCCAGATTTCCTTCTCTTGCATTTATGAATCTTTCGTCTGATAGATTTTATCACTATCGGACAATTGATTCCTTCTTTAAAAGTCGATTTGACTAATATTTGGATTCCTCCTAAATGAACGTAATTCATTTTTTTTCTTTTTCTTTCAGGAATTTTTCTGAGAATTTGGTCTATCATAGGTTTTGTTAACAGGTTTAGTTTATGTTTTCCTGTGGTTTGGGTAATTTCTATTACCTTCTCTATTTCCTGATATTTATGATAAGAAATTTTATCTCTTGCAAACATTCTTTGCATTCTGCTAAGTAGATTGTCTTCTACTTTAAGATTAAGTTTTAATCCTTGGATTTTTCTGAATGTTTCTCCGTCAAAAGTTGCTTTTAAAGCATACCCTCGATGGTCTTCTTCTGTTTCTAATATTTGAACAGATTCTTCTCTTTCTTGAATTTCTTTATTCATTTAGTCAGATTCTTCTGAACTGGTTGAATATTCTTCATAGATTTCTTCACTTTCTATAGATTTTATTGATTCTAGGTCTGAATCAATATCTATTCTATCAATTCTTGAGATTTTTACTCTTCTTTTATTACACTCGTAGCTTTTGTGGCCTTCTTCACCGCAATTGTAGCATTTGCATTTATCAGTGGGTTTTTTTGAAAATTCTCTTTTCTTTTTATAGTATTTTTTTCTTGGTATATACTTCTGTTTAGAGAAGTTTTTTCTTTTTATCAAACCCTTTTTGAGCTGTTTTCTTTTTTTGTAAGGTTTCTCATCACATCCCCATTGGGTAGATGCCTTAGTGTCATTACAAAAGATTTGTGTATTTATTCGTTTAGCTTTTCTTTGTATGTTATGGGACATACATAGTTGACTAAGTCTATTTTTTAAAGCTTTTACTGATGATGAGCTTGTTGCTTCGTTTGCTCAGCTTTTTTCCTCATCTTTTAATGCTGGAACTGGCATATCCGTGCTTACCATTGAGATGTTTTTGGCACTAGGTGCTAGTGGGACATCTCCTGCCACTTTGTTGGGATTAATATTCCCTTTCAGATTTGAATTATGTGATGGACGTGTGTCCAAATGTTCACATAAGAGTAAAAATTCTCTCATGCTTTCAGCTTGAGTAGTGCTAAGCTGATTTAATTCAGATTGTAACATCCGAGATTGTTCAGACAGTTTTGATAGCTCATCTCTGATTTTGAAGAGCTTTTGGCTTTTGACATCAATGGACTCATCCACTGTCCTCATTTTTTCATATATCCTGTTCACCAGGATTTTTGTCTGATTGTCCATACTGGACGTTTCTAGAAATGAAATCTGCAAGAAAATTGTCATTTCCTTTAATATATTCTATTGAGAATGAATAAAAAGATAATAATACTTGTCATCGATGCAATCTTCTGTATTGTGGTTCAAAAGGAAGCTTGTTAAATATTAGTCCTGACACCTGCGTGTTATCAATTCTAATAACAAATTGTTTTGGTAAAAGGAAAGCAGAAAATTTTCTAATTCCTCTAACAATAGCTAGCAATTCTTTTTCATTTGTAGAATACCTTGTTTCTGCATCATTGAAAGTACCACTTGTGTACCTACATATTTCATTTAAATCTGTTTGCAATAATGCTCCCCAATGATAGTCTGATGCATCTGTTTGCAAAACTAGATTATCACTTTCTTCTGGTAATCTTAGTTTTGGTAATTTAACACATTCTTCTTTTAGGCTTTTTACACACTGAGTGTGTTCTTCTGTCCATCCAAGTCTATTGGATTTTCTTATAAGTTTTTGCAGTATATTCCGTTTTTTTGCTAAGTCGAGAATAAATTCTCCTGCATAATTCAAGCAACCTAGAAATTTTTGGATTTCTTGTTTTGTTGTTAATTTGTCAGGAAATTCTATAATTTTCCTTGAGATGTGTGATTGGAGTTCAATTCCATTTTTTGAAATAATCATTCCTAAAAATTCTATTTCATTTTTATTGATGTCAGTCTTTTTCTGACTTAATACTATTCCATTTTTTAAACAAATTTCTGAAAATTCTTTAAGATGTTTTAAATGTTCTTCATATGTTTTGGAACATATTAGAATGTCATCTATATAGATTATTAGAAATTCTTTTTCAGAGAATATTTTATCCATTTTTCTTTGAAATATTTGTGGTGTATATTTTAGTCCAAAGGGCATGACTAGCCACTCATAATGTCCATTAGGAGTGCTGAAAGCAGTTAACTGAATTGAGTCTTCTGCTAATTTTATCTGCCAAAATCCACTTTTGCAGTCAAATTTTGAAAATATGTTTTTCCTTTTGCAAGGTTAATTAGATTGTTTTTATTTGGGATAAAATATCCATCAAATATACAGTTTTTGTTTAGTTCTTTATAGTTTATTACCATGCGAATAAATACACAAAGGCATCTACCCAATGGGGATGTGATGAGAAACCTTACAAAAAAAGAAAACAGCTCAAAAAGGGTTTGATAAAAAGAAAAAACTTCTCTAAACAAAAGTATATACCAAGAAAAAAATACTATAAAAAGAAAAGAGAATTTTCAAAAAAACCCACTGATAAATGCAAATGCTACAATTGCGGTAAAGAAGGCCACAAAAGCTACGAGTGTAATAAATATATATATATATATATATATACACACTTCATTCCTTATGTAATCCTTCCTTTTTTTTGGTGAAGTAATTAAATTGCATTAGAAAGGCATCAAGAAGATGCAGTGATTACAACTAAAAACAAAGTTGCTTCAAAAATGAAAATAACATGAAGCTAACTGTGCAAAAACCTGTAAAGCAGCCAAAAAGATAAACCCCCTCAAACCCTACTGAGCTAGAGTTAAGGAGCTAACAAAATCCAAAAAATAACACAGCCCAATCAATTTTGGGCTAACAGAAAGTTTCGGCTCAAAGATTTAGCAACTTTTTGAATAAGCTTATCCACATTTGCACTCTGAAAGTTGCAAGTAAAAATTGTTCACGGTAACAAGCACATGCCCTCAGTTAGGGGTGTACGTGGTTCGGTTTGGATTGGTTATTCATCAAAACCAAAATCAAACCAATCTAGTCGGTTTTCTAAATTTCTAAAACCAAACCAAACCAAACGGAAAAAATAACCGTCGGTTTGGTTATTATCGGTTTGGTTTAGTTTTTCTGGTTTATCCGGTTTGAAAGTCCTAGTAATTTCTTTTGAGGACTTATGTCGATAGACACAGACATCTAGCACATGAACAATCCACAGAAAAATTATTGTCGGTTCAATTAAGCAATTAAGCAATACTAGAGTTATCATTACACGAACAAAGTGTTTCAATTAAGAGAATGTGTGATTATTTTATGTGAAGTAGGGTAGGTAAAGACTAAAATGAATTTTAATGGACTTGGACTTAGGATTGTTATAGTTGGACTAAAGAGTTGGGCTTGAGAAAATCGTAAAGTTAGAGACTTAAGTTAATTAAAATATAATAAAATATTTATATTTTATTTGTAATTAATATATAAATAATTATAAAATTTATATCTAATTTATCGGTTCGATCTGGTTATTTTTGCGGTTTTTTTTAGTAAAACCAAAACCTAACCAAATAATATCAGTTTTCAAAATTTAAAACCAAACCCAACCAAATATCGGTTTTTTTAATCGGATTGCGGTTCGGTTTGATTTTTTAACCATAACCATGAACAGCCCTACGGCGTCAGTAGTAGATGAGTATTATTCCAATTTGTGTGTGTATGTTGTGTGTGTGGAGGGGGGGGGGGGCATGTAACTGTGAATATGCAGGTGGAGCACAAAGGCATGCTATAAGTATTAATAGACTTCCAATTGAAACTTCACACCACCCTACGGCCATGTGCTCCTCTGCGAAATATATTCTCTATTAACGTCACTCTTGGGGATTGCATCATTAGAATTGATACTGAGAGCAGTGTCTCAGACCAGAACTGGCAAACCATACTCAAGAACCAAATGACAAACTTGACACTTCAACTTGCTGCAGAAGGGTCGTGTGCATATCTTGCACTCCTTGTCATAAGAAAAGGGTGTGACCTTTTTAAACCAAAATTAACTACCTTTGAAGGAAAAAGCTCAAACAATTAGGAGAAATTTTGACACAAAATCAGTTCCTAAATTCTATAAACACACAACCCCTCAATTCTAGTTCAAAAACACCATAAACATAAACACCAAATCATGAAATTATCTAAAAAAAAATAAAAGGAAAATCAAAGAAGAAAAGTTCAAAAATATTACCATTCGCACATAGGGACTGTCCCCGAGACAAGACTCAGATATAATCGGAAAATCAGATCGTTTCCATCCATCTGCTTCTGCATCTATAAGCAACCTATGCGCGCCATTAATTACTATATTCCTGTTTATAAAGAAAACAGAAACTTATCAACTAAAGCTTTTTCTTCACATCCACAGCATCAAAAAGTTTCAATTTATCAAATATAAGGTACCTAATTAGGTTGATTTTATCAAAACACGAAGCACAAACTTTACTGTCATGACCTGAATAAATGAGCTAAGTGAAAGAATAAAGAAATGACGAATAGAATTATAACACCTGGATGTACGAGATTTAATTGGAGTTAATGAAGCTGAAGGGCTGTGATTGCACGTGAGCATCCTATAACTAAGTTCCTGGAAGAGCAAAAGGGGCATTGATCAAATTGGTATTATTCTCGTGCTCCCCTCTCTCTCTCTTCTCTTCTCTTCTTTTCAATCTCCTTCTAAATTCTTTTCTCATCTAAATCTGCAGGTCCTTATGGCAATGGAGAGTTCTTCAGTTAGTTTCCGTTAAATGTAGTTTTAATTTTCATGTATTAGATATCCTTATCTCTAATTTTCCAGTTATAAATCAGAAAATTCCAAAAACTATTGTGTTCGATTATTTTCTTTTCCATTTGAATTTCCAGATCTCAATCGAGATCATAACATTTACCTCAGTGAAATCCAGCGGCGGAGGAAATACAGTGGCGGAGCTTACGGCGGTGGCAGAGAAACTGCGGCGGAGCAAAGGGAAGGAGTGGAGAAAAAAAAATCACTACTAATGTGATGAAGAGGAAAAAATTGACTTTTTAGCAAAAGTTTAGTATTAGTACTTTTAGTCCTTCTAATATTTTGATCCTTATATTTCTGGTTAGGGATATTTTGTTTTCAATAAATTGATTTGTTCACTTTTTAATCTCTCAAAAGTCAAAAGTGTGAATTTTCAATTTCAAATCATCAAAGTATTGTCAAAATTTATAATTTTACTTTATATTTGAAGATGATATACTTATTAAAGTAATTTAAATATGGGTGAAAAATCTATCTATACAATTTAAGCACCTAAATAACCTCTATATAGCAATAGTTTGACTTTTTTCTAACATAGCAATAGAATTTTTACCAAGCAAAACAAATGTGATATAATAATAAAAATGGTAATTCTAATGAATAATTGCGTATGATTTATTATGGTAACAAATTTTAATTCCTTAAATTGTTCTACCTCTGTTATTCACTTATCACAAATATCTCTCATAACCACAATATTACTATACTAACCTCAATCAAACTCTTCCTATATTCTGATAATTGTTTCAATGGCGGAAAGCAACAACTTCTCAGCACGACGAAAGATGGGATGGAACAAGTTATTTCAATCTTGTTTATTATAAAACTTGCAATTTTAATTGATTTTATAGTAAATAATATTGCTTTTAATTAATGTGTTGTAATGTGATATAAATCAACGTAGTTAACAAAGAAAAAAAAGCATTCTGTAATCGGGTATAATAAACTAATTATTTTCAGAAAAAAATTATTTAATTCACATTGTTCATATCTTGATTATGCAGTAGGCTTTGTTATTGACGTTTTAATGACATTTTTGTTATACATTGATGATATGTTAGTTTAGGTTGAATATTTACTTTATTGAAGAAATATTTTTTGACACCAAAGTTAAGTCGATTTCTACATCATTCACAATAAGTATGTTAAACCAATTTGTACGTTAGTGATGAATACTGATGATTGTGGAAATAATTTCACATACTTTATTAGATTATAGTATACTGCATTGTATTAATAGGTTTTTTCTTCGGTAGAAGACTTCTTTCGAATGACATAATTGTCCGACACTATATTTCTCGATCTTCAAAGAAAACTGACTCCTCCTACTCCTAATTCTTCTTTTGTAAAATATAAATAAAATCCACTTTAGAAGTCATGGTTTAACATTGGTAAAATTCTTTATAAAATTATGATGTTATGTATTGTATGGTTGAAACATATATCAAAAATCAACTTTTGAACCAATTGTACACCTATTTATTTAGCTATTTTCTGGGAACATGCACGTTAGTCCTTTATCAAATTATAAATATTCGATATATTTAAAAATTTGAGTGGTAAAATAGAAAATGTTAAATTAACAATAATAATTTTGCCTTTTATATTTTGATTAAATGAAATTGAGAAAAATGGTATGGTGCATTTGTCATAAAATAAGAAATAAGTGAAACTAATTAAATTAAAGTCTCTAATGGTATAAATATGTCAAAAAATTGTTGATCGGAAAATAAACAAATACATGTAATGCCTTTATTGAAATTAGCAAAAGCACGAAGAAGAAATATATAGATTTCTAGTTTTCTACCAAACTTGCAAATAAAACACCACAAATGTATATTTATCTTAGCACCAAACAGTATTCAAAATAGGATGACTTGCTTAAATTTTCAAAAATATTTAAAGAAAATGAACATAAAATTACAATGAAATCCAACTTGTACTCATTTTAATTAATATTTCTTGATAGAAAGAATATTTCTCAAAGTTCTACATATACTTGATATACGTTTGAGGATTTAGTACTAATTAGCTTAATCGTCGGCCCTTATATTTCATAATGCTGACATCTTATTTCTATTCCTATCAAACAGTATTTTAAAAGGCGGGGCGTGAGGCGAGACGTTTTACTTAGTATAAGGCGAGGCGTAAGCCTTGAGATGTGGGGTCTTTAAATTCTTAATTTATATTATAGTATAATAATACAATTACACAAAATTATAAAAATAAATCAATAGTTTGAAACAATTACAAATATGATAAAATAAACAAATAGAAAATAAAAGTTCTAACATGATTATACTAGTATAAATAATTTAATATCTTAATTTTCTAATAATAAAAGAATTATTATTTCTCAAAAAAAAAATTATCATTCTATACAATTTCCCCCCCCCCCCCCTCCTATTTAAAAGAAAATAATTAATAGTCTTACTAGTATTATAATAAAAACATCACTCTATCATTATTAAAAATAAAATTACTTTCAAATAGCTAAATAAAATATAGTAATAATTTTGAGACATATGACAAAACCATGAAGACCAATAATAAGTGAAAAAGTAAAATTTTGCAACGTATTTATAAAAGGAATGTTACATAACATATAATTACTTTCACAGTGTTACCAAATAGGAAATATGCGATACTAAAACTTGTTATTTGAGTTATTCTCAACCTTCTTTGTCTCTATAGATTAAATTTATTATGTATCATTCAATTATTCAAGAATTATGAGGGTCAACAATGTTAACTAAAGATTTTAACACATAATTTGTGTAAAATCTCTCGCCTCGAGCGTTGCGCGTTGGGCATGCTTAGGGCGTACAGTTAGGCGCTTAGGACGTAAGTCTTACAGAATTAAGCCTCACACTTGAGTCTCGGAACATTTTGCTAGAGTCCCTCCCTAGTGCGAGCCCCGAGGCGAGGCCCAACAGAGTTTTTTAAAACACTGCTATCAAAAATTGTAATAAAACTAATAGATGATGGACAATGGACATATACAAAGAATAAATAGAAAATATAAAGTCATAACTATGATGTTGTTAAACTATATTTTCTCTACTCTAACCATTGATGTTGTTCAACTTTTCGTCAGCTTTTTGGCTTTAATTTCTACAATAGTTTTTTTTGTGATAGCCTATTTGATCTTACGACAACATTGCACATACTCAGGGGCGGATGTACAGTGTGCCGAGGGGTTCATCCGAACCCCCTCGATAAAAAAATTACACTGTATATATAAGATCGATTTTTCTGTTTACGTGTATATATTTAAAATTGAACCCCCTGAGCATATGTCAAAGGAGTAGCTCAATGGTAAACTGGGTTCAAGAAAGCGCATTTTGTGGGCTTGGTCGCGGGTTCGAATCCAATGAGCAGCAATCTTTTTTTTCTAATTTTGAAGCATTTTTGCTGGCTTAAATTTTAAGTGTTTTTATTAAAAATAAATAGAACAACGACGACGTTTCATTAATGACTAAAATTTTATATTTTAAATCTTTAATTGAAAAGTCGACAAATAAAAAACCCTCTCTTTTCTAGGGATTTCAATATTCTATTTTTCCTCCTAGTCTTCTCTTTCAACTAGAATACTGCCTCTCGTTTTGTTGCTCGCCTGATGCCCGCTCCTGCTTGCTGTCGCTGCTCGCTGCCGCTAGTGGTCCTCCGATCTCCGCGGATCATTTCATTCTATCCTCCATTCGTGATTCGACCATTGATGGCAACCTCTGTAAGTTCTTGTATTTTTGTTTTTTAAAAAAAAAATCAGAATTCTATATGTGCAGTGTGCCAAAAAGAATTTGTGAGTTTTTGCTTTTGATTTGTGTTTATTGTCAGTCTTTCTAATGTTAAATTTGTGCTTGCTCTCCATTTGCACTTTCAGGAGCCGGAGACAATTCTAAAGGAATTGAAGTACTTGTAGAATTTTTGAATGAGTTGTGCTACTTTATTATCATTTTATAGATATGTACTTTAAATTTGTTTCTTATGATAAGTTGTAAATTGTTAAGAAATTATTTGAACTAAGGATTTTTTTGTCAACCCGTTTGTTATTCAATCCGTTCATATATGATCCGATCCGACCCGTTTATTTATGGATATTATTAGTGTGATTATTTTTTTTTGAACCCCCTCGATAGAATTCCTGGCTCCGCCACTGCACATACTTATTTCTCCCATTATTTTTCTCAAATTTCGAATAGAGAAGAAAGAAAATCCAAATGGTAGAATGATTAAGGTTAGGAGCCGTGAATTTATAGGGATAAAAGGATGTTAATGAAAGATTTTTTGTTAGTGTTTACCACACATATTAATGATTGGGAATGTGAAAGATCACACGTTCGTACGTTCATGCATATAATTAATAAAACATAACTGTCACTTTGATGAAGGAGAGGGGAATACACTATTAGCATTTGAAAACTGATGGTACTTCTCAGTTCTTCACTACAATGAACAATGTAACTAATAAGTAATTAATTCATGTGAAGACTTCAAATAGGGGTGACAAATGGTTGGATTGGATTGGATCGGATTGGATGGATTGAATATAGATTGAGCAAAAATGGTTTGGATTACAATCCACCCAAATAGAATATGAGCAAATATAGATTTAGTCAAATATGGTTTGGGTAAAATGGTTCTAACCTTAAAAAAATCTGTTTTTCAAAAAAAAAAAATTACCCCCTCCCTCGGGCACCCCTATCCCCCGGGGAGCCCCCCCCAACCTTCCACCAACTGATTCCTAAATTTTTTTGTTTTCCCAAAATAAAATAAAAAATCCACCAACCTACCCCTAAATTATTTTTGTTTTTCAAAAACAAAAAAAAATCTGTTTTTTCAAAAAAAAAAAAAAATTACCCCACGGGAACCCCCACCCCCTCACCTTCCACCAACCGATCCCTAAATTTTTTTTGTTTTACAAAAACAAAAAAAATTACCCCCTCCGCCGGGCACCCCCCTTCCATCAACCTATCCCTAAATGTTTTATGTTTTCCAAAAACAAAAACAAAATCTGGTTTTTCAATTAAGTTTGAAAATTAATTGAATTTTTAAAAATTAATATTATTTTTTAAAATTTTTAGCACAATTAAGAATTTTGAGTGGAAGTGAAAACTAAGTGATCTATTATGGGTAAATATGGATGTCCATATTTAACCCATTTTGACCATATTTATAGAGACTCTTAAAATAGCTTGAAGCTCATATTTGACCAATTAAAATATGAGTGATCCAAGTTATTAAATATGGACAAAATGGACTCATTTCATTAAATATGAACTCAAATTATC